TACCTACAAGATGAACTGCAATACAAAAATTCCTTACCTATTAATCTGGAGTTATATAATAAACATAATGATCATTTTAAGGACACCAAAAGATATCAAGTACTTACTGGAGGACTATTATATATTACTAGAATGACATGACCTGAAATCTCTATTCACATCAACCTACTAGGGAGAAGAGCATCTGAACCTTCAGTAATAAATTATAGAACTACCTTAACTATTCTGTAATATCTAAAAAGCACAAAGAATCTAGGAATAATACTGAACAAACCAACAAACATATACCTTACTATATATGTAGATGCATCTTATGGTGGCAAACAAGTGAGATCTCAAATAGAAGTACTTATAACCTTTGGTAACTAACCAGTTGGGTAGTACAGCTACCATCAAGACACTGTATCTCTATCAGTAACGGAAGCAGAATATATTGCTGCATGTGAAGAAGCTAAAAATGTAACTTGAGGACAACAACTTCTAGATGAACTTGGAATTACATTGAGACCTACGGTAAAAACTGATAGTGAGGGCACATTCAACTTAGCTCACACTTCTCGTTATTTGTGTTGAACTAGACATATCGAACATAGATATCACTACTTACACCAACAAGTACAGTCAGACAGACTAGCCATATCTACTATCTCAGGCAAGGAAAATCCAGCCAATATCCTCACTAAAATTACTCCTATGGCTACTATTAAAAAATGGCAAGATAAGTGGATGAAGTTGGCAGAGTAAAGAAGGGTCAGGAATGTTGGTAGAGTAAAGGAGGGTGTAAGAAATACTCTACCAAACATGTGGATATAAAGACATGTGCGAGGCATGTGCATCGTGCCAAACATCATATGGACATGAGATAAGATGGAAGAAGACATGTGGACAAACATGTGCGAGCAAAGCAAATCATGTATATATAGACAGCTAGATTGCCTCGTTAGAAGGAGGAAGAAAATAAGACAGACAATCACACACATACTGACAACCTCATACGTACTAAATCACTTCAATCTTCTTTCTCCAATCACTATATCTCATAATCCTTACGCTAGGGAGAAGAACCGGAAGAGATCTACGTTGGCGGGGCTCCTGACTAGCGTACTCGATCTCTTTCCTATAATTGATTGAGGTATATCAAGTGCTGCTGCTGCTTTGCGAACGAAATTGTACTCTGGTAACTCAAACAGGTAGGCCTTCAATGATCTCACACTGTAGGCAAAAAAAAAATAAAAAGTGCATTCATAAGTAGAAAACGATACTTGAACGTTGATTAGAATGGAACACTCCCAGTGAATGAAGGAATACAGCCAGATACAGTAACCAGTAATGAAACCCCGCCTATCCTAATGACCATCGAATGCCACGCCACCGCCATTGAGAAACCACAACTTTAGAACCTCCTTGCCTTCAGCGCCCCAATACAATCAAGTATCAGCTGCGGTTCATCGATTACCTGATTGGCTTCCTTTAGCTTCTTCATTTCCCCCTGAACAAGAGCCACCAACGCATTACACGAGACAATATACACTGGTTTGCTCGGATCCAAACCTCCTTCCCTTAAATTTTCGCGGTAATTCGCTCGAGTTTGACTGACGACTTTCTCCCGTGCGCTCAAATAAATGTCTTCGAAAACCCGTTTATCGTCCGAGCCCTCCCACTCATAGTCTTGGTTCATCGTATTAGTGATATGTTGATTTGCCTTGGAGCGAACGACAAAGGACGGGATCTTGTAGCGCTCGCAATGTTGGAGGATGATAAGATCCTGCTCAGAGAATCTGTTATCAACCACGACAATAATGAGGTCGAAAACGAAGAGTCCCTGGGAGTTAAAATATTGCCAGCCTTTGATTTTGGTAGTTCCTGCGCCTGGAACATCATACCATACAAAGCGATTACGTGGAGGCTCTGTGGCAGGATCGCGGTAGGCAGTGATCTGCATTGTGGTCTCCGTCACTCCGGTTGGTGCAACTAACGGACTTCTAGAACCATTCCGTAGCCCGCGAAATGCGTTAATCAATGAACTCTTGCCACTGCCTGCAAGGCCAGCGATGGCGCAATGGAAGAACCCTTCCTTTGGTTGTAACAATCGCTCTTCAGCCTGTTTTCGCTCCTCTGATGTGGGCCATACTTCCGGCTGAATCCCTGCCATGTACTTGGTCTCTAGCTCGGCTTGCTTGCGGTTCAATTCTTCCCTTTCTCTCCTGGCTTTCTCTTCTTGCTCCTGAAAAATTCTCTGGGCTTCAGCTGCCTGAGCAGCCAACCTCGCCATTGACTCTTCCTCCAATCGCTGCTTTTCCTGTTCATGCCTCAATCGTTCTTGTTCCTCCCTTTCGAACGCCTGTCTTTGTATCTCGTCCCTTTCTGCCCTGGTTTCTGTTTCCCGTCGCTGGCTTTCTTCTCTCGCTTGCCTTAATTCATTCTCATACCTTTCTCTTTCCTCCCGCTGCTGGCGCTCGTTGCACTCCCGTTCTTCCCATGCTCTCTTTTCCGCATCTTGTCTGATCTTATCTTGCGCTTCTCGGATCTCTCGCTCAAAACGCTCACGTTGAATGCATTGCTGATTTTCCCATTCTTCTCGCCTGCTGATTTCTTCGCGTGTATTATTGCACTGTCGAGGAACCCCTGTGAGAGTATCCCAGGCGGTAGTCACAGCATCTGCAACAAATTCGAAGACCTAGCCAATTTAAGCGTCCCAAGGACATAGCGCGTACGAGAAAAGAAAATAAATGGGGGAAATACACTGTGCATCGCACCCATCTTTGCAACAACAGCTGATGCTCTTCGAAATAAACTTGCGTGATAAATTGATGTATACTGATATACAGACGGGGGCTGTATCTTGAGAATTATTAGCTGGTGCCTGTTTTTCCAGAGCGGTAACTTACGAGAAATGTATAACACTCGACACCAAATTGGGAGGATGGAGTGGTAACCCTCACTACTGAGGAGCTGCTCTTAGTACTCGGTGGGGAGGGTCGTTTTATCTCAGTATTTATATGCGTATGGGACGTTTCTCCTTCACAACCTAGTTTAGAGATGGCGGCAATCAGTTGTGAGTTGTTTGCAAGCTGCACGTACGTATAATTGGTGCAGGTAAAGCACATATGGAGCTTGCTGTGACTAGTAGGTAGATCATGCCAAAATCATCCACGGGTATGCACATTCTATGGATTGATACCGCTGGAGGCTGAACTGCAGCCTTGATCAATGAGCGTTCGCCGATCTAGTGACCAATGGAAGATGCTGTCAATCAATTGTGATACTTTAGCAGGGTGACTGACATAGACGCCACAAACAACGATGAGAAGCAGTGTCCAATGCCGACCCGCATATTATTTCAGAAGATGCTGGAATCTGAAAGAGAGGGTAGAAACCTAAACAATCATGTTGATCCCAGGAATTGTAATGCCTTGCAGCTCCTACGGTATCACATCAAGGAGACGAGCGTTGGCTACATACTGAGCACCTAAGTACTCCGTCTGATTCGCTAACAGCAGAGCACAAATATGTAGGTATACGTAGCAAGCTGTATATGCATATAATCCATTACCGTATTTAGTCTGTTTGACACGCAAATCACCCTACTTTGTGATATGAAGTGCTTCGACATAAGTTGGAATAGCTTGGTCATCAGTGTAGATATTCGATTCGACATCTGATTTGCTCGTGGTTTGTTTTAGGTACAGAGATACTCGGCACTGCGATATAAAGTATTACCGGTATCACCGGTATTGTGCATGCAGCTTGGAGTTTCCAATTACTTATCACCCGAATTTTGGTGGACTATGTAGCCACTTAATTCTTGTCTGCACGCTGCATGCACCGCAATAATTTATCGTTGTACCGAGTATATAGTCGATTCCAGGTCTCCGCTTTTCAATTTTGTACTCTATGCGAGCGCCCTGTTGCTCTTTCTATTACTGTGAAGTGAAATATGCCACCGTCCAGATCCATATAGGAATTCGTACTCTCATTGGGCCTTTAAGGATCCGAATCTTGTATATTATTGACGTCACGGTTGTGCCCTTTATATATGCTAAGTTACAATACTTGTTGACTTAACGTTCCAGTATTAGGTATTTTTTTTTAAAAAAAACACAGGCATACCGGTACATATCACCTCCATATTGCAGAACGGTCAAATTTTAATCCGACCCGCAGGATGTTTTAAGCCGCCTTTCCCAGCTCCGCTTCAATCTTGTCCATAATACTCTCGGGCTTTGTCGTAGACGCCCATCTCCCCTTCACCGTCCCATCCCGCCCCACCAAAAACTTCTCAAAATTCCACTTCACCCTCTGCATTCCAAGTAATCCCGGCTTCTCCTGCTTGAGCCATTCCCACAGGGGATCCGCGTTATTCCCATTCACATCCACCTTTCCGAGAACTGGGAATGTCACACCGTATTTTGCCGTGCAAAACTGCTGGATCTCGTCGTTCGATCCAGGCTCTTGACCACCAAACTGGTTGCAGGGAAAGCCGAGAATGGTGAAATCACTGCCGGCAGGGTGGGATTTCTTCACATTTTGGTATAGGCGCTCGAGGGACTCGTATTGTGGAGTAAATCCGCACTTTGAGGCGGTGTTGACCACAAGAACAACCTTGCCTTGGAGAGAGCTGAGATCGAACGGGGTGCCGGATTCTGAGTTAAAGTTAGCATGAACGTACTTATATGATGATGATTGCGAAAGCTGAAGGCACCGTACTGTCGAGAGGTTTGAAACCGTAAAAGGATGTTGGAGGTGCAGTCATGTTTCGTATCACTCTGCTAATTGTAGGTAGTTTAAAGACTAAAGAGTATCGGAGTGCGCGTGGTTGAGCACAAATCATCGACGTTGATCATGAAGTTGCGAAGTTGGCTATTAGCAGCCTCGCCAAGACAGCACTGCACAGTAGGTCATCATAGTAAGGTTGCAGGATCATAGCTGCCAGCATAAACGAAACCAGTGATATAGGTAAAGGTCTATATGACTCAAGGTGTTAATTTTACTCAAATTTCGGTTGAATGGTGTAACGGTAGCACATAAGATTTTGACTCCAATCCAAAGTTTCTTGTGACCTGGGTTCGACTCCCAGTTCGACCTTTAACTTTTTGCTTCTAGCACTCACGTGTAATATATGTTTTTCTTCGCCTTACCGACTCAAAGGAATGTATTTACGTTTTGTGAGTCCTTTTAATTCTTTTTTGTCATTTTATCGTTTGATCTCTTTTGAGGCACTGGTGTGGAGTTGTTTTCTCCTATCCTCTCAAGACAAGGATACCTAGGGCCCGATCTTCCCGCTCATAATTACTTTTCTACAATCATCCCACAATAATTTCTGTGACTTTACCCCTTGGGTCTACTCATGTTACCGAAAAGGTTGTGCGAAAAATTGTACCAGAGTCACGGGCATACATATTGACCTTTTTCCTGTCTCCATTTCACATCCTTGAGATTCTTATTGGGTTTTGCGCCTGCCTTTCTCTTACTCTGCTCTACATATAAATGTTTCCAGTCTTTCAAACTCGACCGCATTTGCTCAATTTCCCTCTTGTCAATGTATGTACTATTCAATATTTTATCTGCTTTCAGATATATGAGGCTTTTTAGTTTGCTCAGATCTGTTAAATTGACTGTGCCTCTTTTACGGATAATATCATTGGAGGTTACATGTTAGCAGGCTCGAATTCCTGTTTGGAACCAAGAATAGTCTAAGAATACCTAGTTTGAAAGGAAAAATCATTGATATCTGCGTTTCATCTAGACCTGTGAACTTGAGGCCTGATTGCTCATTGATGCAGAAACATAAGTTAGAGTTTCTGTGAGCCTACACATATTGATCGTACAAGTTGGTGAATCGAGATCAGGGCTCCATCCAGAAATATAGTTTGAAGACTATGATCTACATATGCTCCAAGACAAGAACTGAAAGAGTACATAGACCAAATACAACGAAGTTGCTTAGAGCCAATAGGTACGTAGGTACATGGGAGGTTTGGAAAGAAAATTAATTCTGAGAAAAAGGAAAGGAAAACGCAGAAGGTGGAGGTAAAGAGGGGTGAACTGTGAATTTTGAGATTCCTAGTGGGATTTTTTTTTTTTCCCCCTAAATACTCATTACTCCTGTTCAATCCCAGTAAGAGGACTATGAGGAGCCACCCGGGTAGATTCAGAACAAGGCAAGTTAATCTGCCAGGTCCACCGCACGCGAAAATCAGAATAACGAGAAAGCAAAATTCATAAGGCGCAGAACCCCCATGCTGTCATTAACCGACTGATGTCAGATGACCCCGGAAGGCCTGACTGAATACATGCGTGAGAACATAATGATATTAGAAACCTCGATACCATCCTAATCCCTGAACAGCACACACACGTTCTAAATGGCTACAGTTGAAATGCAAGGCCACCCACCTGGCCTCAACTGGTGCCAGCTGCGGGCTTTCACTGCCCCTCACGCACCTGCATCACCGCTCCCCACTCTTCCCCGCCGTAGGTATGTATACCCGAGCGACGAGATTTCCTCTAGGGAGTATCCTAAAACGCAAAGAAGTGGCCAGCTGACAGCTTGTTCGAGCTCCCAGCATTTTTCCGACCACTACTGTTGTGGCCGCTATTCAAATTCTCCTCCCGGAATAACCCCGTCGTAATCTTATCTCCCGATCTAATAGCTATCCCACGTTCCACAATCGTTTCTCCAGGCGTGGGACCCTTCACCTTCAATTTCCATTCAGTGCGCCCGTCTTTGACTGGCCTCATGGCCATTGTCTGCAGCTCCATCATACGGGCGGGGACGATTTTTGTCGAACCGTTCTGTGATGGCTTTCTGGTCGTTTCATGAGTCGTCCTATGCTTAATGGGGGTTGAGGGTTTGCTATTCTTTGTGGCTACGAAGCCTACGATCCCTCGAGGCGATGGTTTGGGGCCCGAAGCAGGCTTGCCACTTGTTGTAGTTTTGATAGTGGTAGTGTGTCTCTCCAGACGCGTTTTAGTAACTTGCGTGACCTTTGTATGGCGGCTTTCTTTTTTCTCCGAAACGCGTGGCATTTTATGACTAGAGCGTGCGGTCTTTCGATTCAGGTCAATATATGTCTAGCAACGACACAATAAAGTGTAAAAGGATAATGAATTCAAAGGCCGAATTCAAATAATGGGGAATATGTGTAAATTTGTGGAGGTATCGTTTTTAGGATGCCAACGCTTCCCCTGATGTATATTGTGGTCCTTCACGTTGTTTTTTCGGGGGGAAAGTACCTACAAAAACTGTACATGGTCAACGTGTGCCCCTGCTCACTATGCAACTGATACGCTGGGGGCCTTAAATATTCACATGCAGCAAGTGAAAGGGAAACCTAAAATCATCACCACCATTTGCTGTGGAATATGTACAATGTAAACATGATGAATAAGGAAGAAAACCAACTCATTTGATTTGATTCCGAAGATGTTGCAGACTGCTACCCTGAGAGTGAGCTCATGCCATGGCCCTCTCACCACCTATGCCTTTGAAACATGTATTCTACCTTCCTCTTATTTGAGAAACGCCGCATATTTATGTGCACATGCATATTTATGCACACATAACTACTTGGCATATGCACAGCAACATTATTCGCCATCTATGCTAGGGGCCTCGGTTTCTTCCCGCGCGTGCAAACACCGTCTCTTGAAGCCCACTTTCTCGAGCTCCTCCTAGGAACTGAGATAGCAATATCAATCGGATCAACATCGACAATTTGATCGGTTTCCGGCATATGGGTCCACTCTTCTGGGTTAAGCTCCCCCCAATCAAGAACCTCGTGAATGCCAACAAGAGGCTTAAGGTGTGCAATATCACAAGTAGGGCCCATACAAATATGAATATATTTGATAGTTGAGATATTAGGGTCGACCACTGAATGACGTTCCTGTCGAGAATATAAAGTCATCTTCGTCCGAGGTGGTCTCTATTAATTCCAGAGCATCAAAAGATTCCGTGGTACGGCTTTTGCAGTAGAAGCAGGTCAATTGGGTCTTGAAATAACCGCTCTGACATTAAAGGTAATAAGGTAATCTGAGAATCCAGAATTGCATCCGGAATGACGCAAAATAATTTCAAGACCTAGGGTGTTGATAGTCTGGTTGGGGTGTTGAGGTGTGAAGCGTATATTCGATCTTCAATGGCTCGTAGGTAGTATCCTATATGCATTCTTAATAGACTAACCACCCAGCAATGAAGAAATGAAGAAATGTTTCTTAAAACTACTGAGCAAAACGTGAATTGAGAATGTTGAGAGAGAATATTGAATTTTCCGAGGAAAAAATCGAGGGAAAAGTTGCTGGCTCTTGTCTATCATTACGCCCGAAGAGACTTGTGAAAAAACAAAAGGGTAGTACGTACCCAAGTGTACTCCTTATACTTCTGACCTGGGTGTTTTTCTTCTCCAAACTCTGCACCGAATTCGTTGACTACAGAAACAAAAAATATTGTAAGTAAGCATGATAATAGATTTACAAATCCGGAATAACATCTCATACAAGAAATCACTGACCTCCAGTACTGGAGCTTAGTGACACCGAGGCAGACGGTATTGCTGCTGGTGGGTATATTGCTGGTAGTAGTAGTGGGAATTCCTGCCTTGGTAGTCAGTCGCTGCGTGCAATCTGTTGAATGAGGTAATCTATGCCGGCTGAGAAAGGAATGCAACGGCTAGATGATGGCGACGATTAGATGGGGAAAAGCCAGAAGAAGAGACTGAATGCAGAAATACCTAATGCGGAAGTGAAGGGTCTCATTGGACCCTTATGCTCGGAGGAAAAAGTTATGAGTTATTGTTGTTGTCGTTGTTGTTGTGTTTCTAAGGTCGATATTCTCTGCTCTTCTTTTGTCTCTCTAGCATCCATCGAATATATTCTCTTCTATATCTATCAAATATACAGTCGCATTCCGAGTTCTATGATTTCCTCATTATATCACCACAGTCTGCATAGTGTGTGTTTTTCACAATCAATTACCTCAGTCCAGTAGAGCCCGAGACACATGTAGTCTGTCCAGTCCAGCCTATACCTCCACACTGGCCCCAATCCAAGCCTAACAGTAGCCAGAACGAATGCTGTGAATTTCATGATGCCAAATTAGAGCGGAAGAAAAGTGGGTACTGAGGCGGATTTTTGTCACAAACGTTAACTTGCAAGCTATTCGCGTGCGTTAAGGTGACTTTTATACCTGTGATCCCAATGTTCTGCAAGAGGGTACATATTTGGGGTGCATTTTTGGGGTGCATTTTAGATCCCCTATATCTAGGCAACTTTAGTCCATGGGTCAACCCAACTCCATATTTGGCAAGCTGGCAAGCCCTAAGTTCTTCCGGGCTAAACTGTCCATGAAGAATCACCCAATTGATAAATCCCCAGCTACATAGTCAGCAATTTACAGGGCCCAGGACCATAGTGTTAACGTTCAAAGCCAGGAGAAAACAAACCGACAGAGAACGCTAGTCTGGACAGGTTGATGATAACAATTGAACGGAAAGCCTCTTAATCAAATCCAGCTAGTAGTCATTACAAGTATTTACCCAGTTGCCGTATTTGTTGCCGCCGCGTATTCTCGAAATTGTATAGACACAGATATGAACACACAGTAATTGAGATAGTTGCCGGAGTCCGGCATCGAAGGAGAGAGCGCTGCCAAGGCCCGATACATCTTGGCGGAAAAGCTTAGCACCCGTGACGGAACCTACCGGAAGCGCTTCGGACACATCGACAGGGGCCTGTCACCTTTCCTACAGAGGAAAGGTTACAGCAGCGGCTAGTCTTGGACGCCTTGCTCCTTTTGGGTACATAAAAGGGGCTCGTCATGACGAGTTATTATTTCTATCTTCAAGTTGCAAGCTTCATTACATTTCTTCCGCATGACCTATCTATTCTTTCAGTCTACACCCTGGATATCTATTGCTAACTACTAATTGTACAACATAATTCACTTTCTGAAGCCGCAAATGAAGAACCAGGAAATTGGCGCTGTTGCCCCACTCGAGCTCATTCCCTTACCTATCGCGTAATTTATACATTCCAAAGCCACACTCTGCAAGTATCATCACGTTTCGACGCGAAGCTTGTTTGGA